TCAATGGGGTAAGGTGTCACTTTATAATTGCATTTAAGTTTTACTGAATGTCAGTATGTTTTACCACCATGATGTTCAGTTATTTTTTGTGAAATTACTCCACTAGTTTGTTATAATGGACCGGAGACGTTGGTTCGTATTCAGACGGATATATGATTTTTCTAAATGTTCAATCTTTCTTTAATAATTATAATATAACAAATTCTTTAAGTAAGTTACGAGTGCCCGTAGGATTAATGAACTTGACAGCATGGGTGGCAGATCTGCCCTTATATGTAACAGTATTATTGTAATGAGTGCCAAGATTAATAAACTACCATCGAGTAAATAATCAGAAATAGAGACGAAATGTCGTTTAATTTGTTTGAAAACTATTCTGCCATATCATTACGGTGACGATGAAATGAAATGTGATTCCGTTTGTATTGTAATTAGATGTTTTGCTGATTTTTCCACACCACCGAATGGAACAGCCCCTTATTACAAGAAATACAGAATATTTTTGGAATATACTGAGACATACACATAACGGAACTGTACTATTTCAGTTTACTAATTTGCGGTTTCAGTGTAAACGAGAGTTGAAATTTAAAAGTGATATAAGGCCTATTTGGCTGAAGAGTTGCATAGCATGGAAGGCCTTTATTTCGTCTCTATTTCAGGTTATATACCCGATGTCAACTACCATCTGTCATAAGGAACATTAAGGATATTGTGACATTTAAAAGAAATTTATTTTAATACTTTGTTAATGAAACATTTTACTCAATAAATGAATATTTGATTCCTAATAAGTAATTTGATATTTTTAATCAACCATTATATTTATTTGTACGTTGATAACGTAATGAACATAATTAGAGGTGTCAGACACACTAATATTAGCTAAGAACTTTATAAATTGAATAATTCTTATGTTCTTTATACTCATTTACTTATTTAGTTCGTATGCCTTAAGGCAGAGCGTCACCATGAATTTATTTATCACCATGTATTTCAATGTATCTACTATAACCTATGTTGACGAATAAATATATTTGAAATAGAATTAGAAATAAGAAATGAAACTATTTTTCCGGATTTAAATCGCGTATATTTGTTTTTTCAAACAAACCGAATACGGACTCGATATAAAAGTTTATTCAATTTAAAAATGTTTAATGCTATATAAATAAATTCCATTATTATTATGAATTTGAATTGCACAGCAAAATCAACATCTAATAACATCAACAAAACACAATTGATACGAAAGATTCTCATTCAACCCACTGCCCTATTCTACCTCGAAATTGCGTAACCGCACAGCTGTGGGTATAGGACATTGCTGCTTATTGAACTAGAACGAAAATTTGAAATGCCACTCCGATTTTGCGATTATATCTAACGATTCCTGATGGAGAATAACTCGTGTTGTAATCGGGAAATATTTTTGATTAACGACACATCTCATAAATAAATAAATATCTGAAAGGTACGTACCCTTAAGTTGAAAAGGCACATGGGTGTCTGTAATTTCAACAGCACTTATAAGTCATAACGAAAACGTATGAACAAGTAATTATCGCGGGTACAGTATTAGGCCTTGTGAGACACCTACAGTTTTTTACTATATTTGACATGTCACACGTGTTGAATTCATTATACGTGCCTTAATAGTATAGCAGTTGCAGAGCTACTCAGAGCTTTAAAATCGCCAAGATGTGTGGGGTACTGCCACTGCGCCCGTCACACTAAGACGTAATTTAACGTTTAGATCTATACGTTAGGCAACACTGTTCTCGATTCTGATCGATTTTGAAAACAAAGGGACGAAAATTATAATGACCTTAGCAATATTATAAAAATATTCAGTAACTTTTTTGTTATAATTTAGTAAAGTTTCGTTTTTTTCAATTTTGTAGTATCTATTATCAGTTGTATCTGTAATTTCGATAATTTTTGCAGCACGTTGCCTCGAGTGTCCGAACATAATGAGCAAATAATTACATACATCGTACTACATAAACGGTATGTAGTACGAGTAATTCAAAAAAATATGTAATGCAAAGAATTAACAGTGCGCTGTCTTTACAAAAACCTGGAATTGGTCATACCTATGAGTTCGTTGCTTTCGAGGACGAAGATGATCTAGTTTAGTTTAGCAACAGAAAACCATCTAGTAAAAGTAATTAAGGCAGTCGCTAGTTCATATATTGACGTGCGTTTTCATTATTTAAGTTAATCGATAAGATCTTCTATTACAAAAAGATGTTATATAATAAGCTCATTTTATTGGAAGGACAATAAGTTTAATATTTGAAGTCGATTAAAAATTAAAATCTTAGTTTTTTTAGGTAATCAACATTTTTTTAAAACCAGTTTTTATAAAGGACATTAATATCTTATTCTAGTATTTTTTCTACTATATTAGTACAACGACTATTTGTAATCAACAAATACTTGAACAAAAATTATTCCATTTAGAATCGATTAATTGAATCGATTTAGAGCGGAAGGAGATGTCCCATCACTAAATAGTGGGTACAAAAAATGTGACACGCTCGGTTTTCATACAAATTGCTGTACTTGCGGCGTCTATTTAGATATATGTCTGTGTCATGAACTCATTTATACGTCCCAGTGGGAACGGGTCCCGTCTCAAGCGAGGTTTTAGACCATAGTCCGCCAGGTTGGCCCGATGCGGGTGGAGGATTTAATACGTTTCCCGAGGGTTGTGAAGCTTCTTCGACGTGTAGATTTTTCCTCACTATATTTATTCCTTCGCCGAGAAGCTCATGGTAACTTTCAAATTATATTTCGCACACAAATTCCGAAGAACGGATTCGAACCCACGGTCTCTGCTTGAGAAGCCGAGGTCAAACCAATATGCTACCATGATATTTTGTATGTGTCAGATTCACCAACATTTTAAGTTTCATGTATTTATTGAGGTACGTGAGAAATTATATAATCTGCACATAATTGCGTGATCGAACAAAACGCTTTTAAATCTTTCTGTAAAACAAGTGAATAGTTGCTATAAGTATTACATGACAGTGCCCAATGATGCGCGCGAGTTGTTTTCAAGTATATCACGACCAATTAAGGTAATCGTTAGAAAGTTATTAAGAAATTACTTAACAGCTTTTATGTAATTGTAAAATTTCTTCCATAATGATAAAATTAAAAAATGTATGTAGTGTAAAGTTGACCAGACAATCTGTCGTGGTCCATATTTCGGAAACAATCCGATTAAAAAAAACTATCAATATTATGCGATAACATCAAAATTATACATTATATTTTTAAGTCGCGCTTCATGTAGTCAAATAGTCAATTAGTTAACTTCATTCGTGTCATTATGGGTTTCAACGTATGTTAGATAAGAACTAACAAGTTCAGTGACCTTTTCAGTAACTAAATTAAGCTGGCAACCTTTCATATAAATTTGTTCGTTTATCTTATTGTACCTGCAAAATTAAATTATGGCATTCATTGAAGCCATTTATTAGTTTAAATTTGTAATTGATAGAATAAATGACAGATGATATTACAGAAATAAATTTTGATTTTAAATACTTTAAGGTTTTCAAAGTTTTTGGCTCGCAACGCCACCACAAAAAATAATTGAAAACACGTATTTAACCGACTTCAACAAAGGAGGAGGTTCTACGTTACGCGATAACTTCGGCTAATTTGTGAACCGATTTTGATAATTCTTTTTTTGTTGAAAAGAGGGTACCTCGATGGTGGTACCATTTAAATTTGAAGAAAATATTCCACCTCTAAGGGTGACAAACAAGGGGATGAATGACTTTTGAGGTCTGTGTTTTGAACACACTGCACTGAGATTATTTTTATATCAACTTTACAAAAAAATCATAAAGAAAAAAATTGTAGCGTAGCTTATATGGTAAATTCAGGTTTGTTTCTCAAATTCGGTAGCAACTCCTGGACAGCATCATCGCACCCCAATTACTTCTGAGGCCCCTACCCTACCCTACTCTTCAGCGCCCACTGGAGGGCTGTAGGGACACTTTGGGAAATTATCACGCACAGATAATAAACAATTACAAACTACTAGAAGGTCCTGGAATATACGTAAAGTAATACGGTAATTGTTATAATGATCTTGTCATAGAAACCTGGTAATACAAATATAATGTTTTCGACTTAAGAGACGTAACCTAGGACTGTACTTAACATGAATTTACTTTAATTATAATTATCATAATACTCATTTAGACTCATAACCTACTAGATGACACTAATGATGACTAATTTATATTTACACGTGAATAAGTTTAATGATATTTAAAATGGGACAGTTATTACTGCTAATGACGAGTGTACAGTAATGCTTTGTTTACAATACCTCTTGTAAATTAAGCACTCATAAATCATAACTAAAACGTATGAACAATTAATTATCGCGGGTACAGTATTAGGCCTTGTGACACACCTACAGTTTTTTGCTACATTTGGCATGTCACACGTATCGAATGCTTACTTCTTATCAATTTGTGTCAAATGTAAACAGTACAATTTCGGTTAATATCTGTTTAACACAAAGTTATTAATAATAAAGATATTATTGCGTCGTAAAACGTGCCTTAATGGTATATCAGCTGCAGTGCCACTCAGAGCTTTAAAATCGCCAAGATCTGTGTGGTACTGTGACGTAAGTTATAAGTTTCATGTGCCTGTAATTTCACCAGCAACCCTTCAAAACCGGAACGCAGTAATGCTCACATTGCCGTTCAGAAAAATTCCAACAACGTTCATCATCATGAACTTATTTAGTAGTAAAATTTCGGTTAATACCTATTTAACACAAAGTTATTGAAAGGTGCATTTTAAAGTTTTCTTTTAGACATCATTGCGTCGTAAAAGGCATGCGTACTTAAGAATTCATTATACGTGCCTTAATGGTATTGCAATTAATATTCAATTCTCAACGCACTCGCAGCCTATGATCTAATCTTTAAACAATGTTGAGGTTTTAAATTAAAACTTACCTCATCTTCTTCGTCATCATTGTAATAAGGGTCCAAGAGAAGATTCTTCCAGTAAATCACATCAGCAGATATGGCGTAAGCGTCATGGTCCCTTAAATTTGCGTACAAAGGGCTCTCCCTGCCTACACCGTCGGAACTGGCACTGATTGAACAACTCTCGACCTCAACACTGCCACCACAAGAGAACCCTTCGTCTGTATAACTGTATCCATATTCAATTTCCTCGTAAATGTTTTCGTCAGTTGTAATCGCGTCGCATACCGGCTCGTAGCCGTCGTCGGTCGGTTTGTCCGGCGTCATGATAGCGACTGGCACATCGCACCTGTCTCCCACCTCGTGTAAAGCGTACACAGAATATTGTGAAGGCGAAAATTCATTCACAGAGTCGAATGAAAGGCGCGAAATAGTCGCATGGTGCTGTGATAGTACTCTACGTAATATATTGTCCGAATTATGGTACCCACTGGAATGCGACCAAACAGCCGCATATGTTTCATTAAGATTTCCTTCATCATTTTCCCCGTCAGTACTACACTCTTTATAGCTCCAACACGTGCTTTCTGAATCTGTATCTGAGTTTAAACGTTTGGCTACCTCCATTATTGTATTTTCAGTCTTTAATTCCGTACTATCGTACGTCGATGACGCCGGCGACGGCGTTTTTAGTCTAACTTTTCTAGGTGGTACAGAAGTGCCCTTTATTTTATCAATTATCGTATTAATATCACTTTTTACTCTGCCACTGTTTGCAGGTGTACTAGTCACAAAAGATACATCCGATAAAGTGGATTCAACGTCACTGTCTCCGATATCAGCATTCACTTCATTTATCACTCCTAGCTTATCACATTTGTCCTCACATTCGTTCTCTGTCATACCTTCCAAACATTTGTCGAAAATGTTGAGGATGCTCAGTGAGACGTCCTTTTGAATTGGCTCTAAGTTTCTTTGGTACTCGTCGAGTTTGAAGATTTCTTTTCCAAGTTGCGAAAGGATTTCATCGAAAGCGCTATCTGGCGTCGTGCTCGATGAATCAGATTGTTCTGTATCGGGCGTCGGCGGCCTCACTGTGACGAGCGTGTCATATTCTTCGATTGAATCGCGAATGTTTGTCAACCAAGCGATGACTGGCGGCGCAGGGCGATCGTGGCGCAGTGTAGCCGCCACCGCGTCCGGAATCCAACTTGCGACTTCGCAAAGCATTCTCGCTCAAAACATGATAACCGGTGTATGATTCAACGCTCAGTTTCCGCGAAGGGCCGCGGTTAACTCCATTTAAACTCGTATTATTTAGTATTTGAAGTTCATTAGCGTGCGGGCTCTTGCAGTAAACTGTACGGCGCTATTTTATCACTGTCGACGACATTTGCACTCCGGCGCGATTGCTTATCGCGTTTTCTTCCTAATTATTACGAAAATACTTCGCGTAAATTACTCGTTTGACCTGAATTTGATACGGTGGTATTTTTGCTCGACTTTTTAAAAGGTTATCTCTTTTTTATAATTATGTTGCACTCATTTTAAGCTATGTTTATTTAAGTTTCACAAAAAAA